GCAATAGTCTTTCATGCTGGTCCAGAAGTATGTCTGAGGAAGTTTAGCAGGCTATGAAAGAAGGTATGTACAAAGATCTTCCATTATCATGTTCTCAAAGAGTGGAATCCACAAAGCTTCGAACGTCTTCTGTTTTTCCGCAAATTCTTTTCTAAATTGTGTAAATTCTGATTAATCGTATATCTTATTGACACCAATTGCTGCAATGGTCAAGAGGAAAAATGATGGTGTAACCGAGAGAGAGAAGAAGAAAAAAATTGGCAAGAATTGTACAACGAGGAAGAAGATGACGAAATTAGCAGTTTGTTTGAGATCAGCTGGAGGTCTGCAGAGCACGAGCACGAGACTGTGTGATATATCTGGGTCTTCCTGTAACAGTTTTCCCCGTAAGCGGGTCGTGGACCTCGTGTCCACCTCCCTGCTGTGCGTGAACCTGCACCAGTTGCGTCGCGAGGCTGGCGTCGAGCTGACGCCAGTCACGTTTGGATCGTCCTCGAGGTAGTTTCTCTCTCTGGAGACGACGATCCACACGCCTCCTTCTATCGCCGTGTACCGTCATGTGATCCGGGGTCAAAGGTTGCCAGTGTTCAAACGTACATCCTGCCTACGTGTGATTCAATTCGTTCGAGTGTGTGTGTGGATACTTGCTTGTTAAGACGAGGAAACGGATGAGGGAGGGAGAATGTATCAGAAGGACAACGGGGATTACGAACAGGTTAGCTCAGAGAGAGAGATGATTCCAGAATTTTTGCAACAGTAGGAATGGGTGTTGGTACAGTGTTCTAGTCGTTCCACGTCAGATTTTCTAATTATAATCTTCTGCCGAATACTTCTCAGTGAGTGTGATTGCAGATTATGCCATGTTGTTTAGCCTGGGTGTATGGAACTGGAGATAGGAGGATGAATGAGTGTTGAATTTTTGGTGGACGAGTTGGTGAGGCACGGGGAAGAGGACGGTAAAGTAATTTCGTTGGAATGCGGTTGATTGATGGATACTATCAGAGGTTCCGTTCTTTCTTAGCGTAGATACGATTGTGTTCGCCGTTGTGATTTGCGTTAACCCTTGAACGACATGTGCTGGGACTAAACGGACCCACGGTGAAGTTTCGTTTCATTTTATTATGTTTCTGTAGTTTTTTCTCTCTGAAACTATGGTATTATCGTGAATTTATTATTGCCAGTGAGGAGAAAAAAGTATAAACGACGTATAAATGAATAATATTTATTCTGTGTTCGAAACAAGATATGCATACGTTTTTTTCTTCTACTGCACGTATAATACAGTTGGTGGAAGAAATATAGCAAGATCGTAAATTCAAGTATGCTGTGTAGCGGCACCGATTTATGCAGGGACATCCTGGGTCGCATGCGACATATTATGCTTTTCTATTAAGACTAAATCAGATCTAAACTTCACGCGGTACTGACTGACATTTTCGATTCTTATCTTCTCAGATTTTGTTCGATTTGCTTGTCGATATTTTTCCTTATAGTACTTCTTCCGTCAATTATACGTATGTGCTCTTGACATTTGGTACTTCTTTCTTTGCATTTATTATCAGTTAAAAATACTTATAGGTCTTGCTCGCTGTTATATTGGTTACCGAAGACAAACTGTGTCAGACAAACGAGATAAAGTGTCATTGCGACCACGAGTACACACGACCGGGTCCCGGCAGGTCCGTAATCGGTTAATAAGTACCTCGCGAGGTGTTGAACGTTTCTCACATAGCGATGCCTTTTTGTGCACCTTGAAAATTGATACTCGGTGTCGCGGTGCTGACAGTGTAATTTTTATTGATCACAGGCCTATAGAATTTTTCCGTGAAAGAGATTTGTGTCTTAACCTTGGAAGGAAGTAGATTTGAAGTCCGCAAAATCTCAAGCTTCAAGGGTGAAAGGTTGAAATGAAGTTTGGAGGATCAATGGCTTATCGGGGTCATTTCAGAATCTTAAGCTCTAACGTTGCAGTCGTCAAATCATTCTAGGAGGTACATATATCTAAAGAATTTCCAATTCAATTGGAACTTAATCTGAGGTATTCAGAATTTCAAAAGACCAGCAAAATCACTTGAGAAACATTTCTAAGGAAATTTCCGATGAAAGAAAGATACGACGAGATTTAGAAGACTGTCAGTGGTATCAAGAGGTATCACAAGACTTGTTTCATTATGATTGCAAGATAGTCAGCTAGATAAACGTCAGAAATGACGGTGCAGGTAGTAATTGTACCGGCGTTGTTCATTACGTAAACGTGTCATCTTGTTGTTGTCTAGATTATCCGCGGTTCAGTCCATCGATAGCGGGTTGAAATTCCGTAACCGTATTAGATACCTTCCAAGTACACCGAGCCCTGGCCTCCAGTCGTTCGCGCCAGATTTATCCGTCGCCGCTTTTGTACGAGCCCTAACCGCCAACCGAGCACACCTGTTGCTGCTTTTCTTTTTTCTTTTTTCTTTTTTCCCTCGCTCTTCAGACCCTACAATGACCGAGATCTGACCGATTATGCGTCAAGAGGAATTAGTATCGCGAGCCTCTGGATGGCTGTGATCGAATGTGCTTTGTTCCCAAGGCTCAGCGGGCACTCCAGAAGAAGAGGAAGTGTTAAGAGATCGTCTGTATGAGTGGTAGGGTGGAATGTTTTCTAGCTATATCGAGTATGATTCTTCTTCTACAGATTATTTCTGTTTTAGAGCTGCTGTGAGTGTGTGTATGATCAATTAGCTGCAGTTAAGACCACACAGCGACCCTGACTCGTCTTCAGCGAGACATTGAAACTGTGGACCTTGGCATTAAGGCGTCTAGTTTAGATAAAGTTCGTCGGAATTATTGCCAGTCAGGGAAATGAATGTCTACGATTCGTTGTATATTATCCTGCGGACAATTTGCCCTTCGTTCTAATTTTAGAGGATTTTTTTTTGTATCACAGAGATATGCTAATTCGCTGAAAATACTTTCTGGTCTCTTCAGACGGATTCTCTCCTCGATTACCACTAATTTTAGCTAAGCGTTCGCATAGTTCCCGTGTGACCGCAGACCGTAACAGACGCTCAGGTGATAAATCGCGCCATTTTGAATCATGTAAAATGATCTCTATTGAGTCTGTGCCGTGGTAGAAGAGTTCTTTGCACCGCGATAGAATTTCGTTCCACGGAGAAACCTATATTTTCCCCGACGTTGAAGGCTCTAGATATAGGCTGCTAGGTAAATTGTGTGTGATAGAACGCGGCAGGAAATCCTCTGGGCGTCACACGGCTATTATCTATCGATTTCACGGCTCTTTTGTGGAGGCAGACTGCCTCTGACTCGCTTTTTAATTAAGTTGCCACGATGTGAATGCTATTTAACACCAGTGTGAGAAAATTAAAGTAGTCTAATATCATTTGAACATCCAATGATTAATCGTTCACTAGATATAATGTTGAAATGTTAATTTAACAACCGGTTGGGATATTTCGAGTGTTCCTGAGTTTTTACTTTCTAAAGACACCAATGTAAAAAAACCAAAAAAATTGTATCCGTGAATTTTTTTACATTTCTTTTTTTTAGCGAGTCGTGGTAATAGATTAAGTTCAGAAACATCTTTTGTATTTAGTGCGAGTATGGAAAAAGGTTCCATTAACGTATCTAATTAGCGAACGTGAACAAACGACACGTGCGCCAGCTCGAAGGATTACGTAACATGAGTGGCGTTGCAAAACGAGCGCGTTTGCAAGCAGGAAGCCATCCGGTTGACCGGTTGGCCAAGGTACAAGCAAAAATACCTGCTCTTGACAATGATTGAGACCACACAGAGTGGCTCTGCCTTCCGTTCACAGCGACACCAACGACCCCCAAGAGCAAAAAGTCATCGAAAGAATTAGAAATAGAGGAAAGAACTGTTGAAGAAGAACCAGAGAGTCGCCCCACGCGCTTTGGTACCCCCACCAAACGATCATGCGAAGAAAAAAAGAACTAGGAAGCTGATCTGTGAATCAAATTAGCCAGTGATGGCTTCGAACCATACCTCATCACTTTCAGACTTCCTCAAAATTATGAAACAAGTACTGGAGGTAAATGGAACATTTCTAACGAAAGAATTCTATAAAATTCCGCGAAATCTATACACAGATGATTTTGTAGATCCCCTATGGAACGTTTTTGATAAAGGCACAGGCGGAGAGATCACAGGGTATCTCGGTAGCGGTGGAGGGAGTAGAGGCAACGTTCTCTCATATTTGAGCGACAAACAAATCAGTCTCGTCGTGACTATCGCGCGTGCGATCCACGCTCTCTTCGCTCACCAGAGTTCCTCGCTAAGCGGATTGTACACGCGCAGAAGCACCTGCGTCGTCTTCAACCTCAGCATGCTGATTTCAACGAGCACATGACACTTTTTCCCTGAAGAAGTACTGTACGCAGCTGTCTGTGACCCCCTTTTTGTCTAAAGAATCAAAGAAAGAGAGGAATTCAAAGACGTTGTGATGGTATGTTAAACACTCAGAGAGTGTTCACTGGTGGTACGTTCAGGAAGAAGCTTCAAAGGAAGCTTTTGAACCTGTATTAGCCGTTGTTTTCTACCCTTTGATTTTTTGCAGTTTACAGTGTTAAGGCGCCACGAGATGCGACCTTTCGATCATTTTCTTATCTATCTTGTGCAAATACATACCATTTGAAGTGTTTGTTCAGTGTGTGAAGGATTGTTCTAAGGATTCTGAGGGCAATATAGGACAAAGAGCGGAAGAATTATTTTTGAAATCTCCTTGGATCATCGTATTCATAATGCTGGCACGCTGGCCGACTGGCTTATATTATTACCGCATTATTTTCTGCGTCAAGTTCTCGAGCACCACGCGCGACCGTGAAAAAGCTAATATAATAGAGGCAGCCTGGTGGTACTTGGCGGCACGTGACCCGCCTTTTACATACATTAACGCACCAGAAAGATTCGATCGTCTTAATGAACATGTGGCGTGTTTGTATTCCTGGTTAGGGAGTTCCTTTTAATTTATACAACCTACTTTTGTGACTCAAGGGCTCAAGTATTCCAATTAGTATCAGAACTTGATGATAATTGGTTCTAAGAGCACACGTATAGCTAGTTTCATGTTTAACATTGAATTGTACATGAATTTAATTGCCCAACTGTGATGTATCTTTGTATTCCGCATGTAATATCTCATATGGTGATCTGCAGGGGCAAATATATGTATCTGGATGGAATTATTAATTGATCAGGGCTGCGGGGATCATGATCCCTTTTTAGCATGGCGTTGTTAAGTTCATTCTTGCCTGTGAACTTTGAACTATACGACTTGACGGCTATTATAATGTCAGGCTCGTATTAATTTAGCGTTGGCGGATGTTTATAACACGTTTGGCGTGGCTCAACGGCGCCGTGGTGTATTTTTCACCATTTTATTGCATATGGAGTTTTTAAATAGAGTACTCTGGCCATTCGTCTACGGCTTACGCAACTCGTGCACGCAAATGCAACCTGTTTTTTGTATCATGTGACGATAAATCCTATCGTTGATAACCTCGTGGTTCGTAGACGTTGTTTGAAATCATCGACTTGCCTTTAATCTGCGATAATGTAATTACGTTTTACAGTGGTATTGGTGTATCACAGTCTGGCTCGAAAAGATGGTAATAGTTCGTGTGATTGATTCATGAATTTCCGTCTTAAATTTTTCTAAATCATTTTTTATGATCTGTTTGAATTGTTAATACCTGTGATGTCGACGTCATTCGTGGAACACTCCAACTCTTGTACCATTTAATTTCTAAGACATTTTTTATTTCTTGCGATAATTGTTGCTTTTTTATTTAAATGATCATTAATACTTACCTTGATGTTTCCAGGGTTCCGGATATTTAAAGCGTGCGAATACTGAACGCCTCCATGAAATATTTAATCAGGTAAATGATTCAGTTACAGTCGGTTCTCTTATGATAATTCAAGTCTTATCAAGCTCAGTAGAAACCGTGTTCGATCCAGTTTGATTATATCATTGAGATAAGACGTAATATGTTACTGTAACATGTTACCTAATAAAATATAATATTCTATGGTAATTGCAGTACGCTTCACAAGAGAAGAATGGCGAGAGGTTCATGACCCCGGCTGACTTCGTCAGAACATACCTTGGACTCTACACGAATCCAGATTACAATCCTGATTCCGTCAATTTGCTCGCTGGTATCGTTGATACCAGTAAAGATGGGTCTGCATTAAATCTGTTTCAACTTAATGGATTAATTAAATTGAGCAGTAAATCTAAAGATTGCACTCTTTTGCAGACTCATATCATTTGCCGAGTTCCAAGCGTTCGAAGGGCTGCTCTGTGTACCAGATGCCCTGTACAAGACAGCCTTCCAGCTGTTCGACACTAATGGAAATGGAATGGTTGCATTTGGTGCGTACAGAATTCTCGTGGAAATCTTCAATTAATTAACAAAGAAGTTTCTAACTACTATTTACTTTTTAGACGAGTTCGCTGAGGTGATGCGTAAGACAGAGCTTCACCTGAGAATGCCCTTTAACATGGACAGCAGTTTCATTAAACTCTATTTTGGGAAAGATAAGAAGAGGCTGATCAGCTATGCAGAATTCAGTCAGTTCCTGCATGTAAGTCTTTGAGAGAGAAGCTTCCTGCTTTTTGGATTACTCTGATCATTTGTTTCAGGATTTCCATGAAGAGTACGCTACAGAGGCGTTCAAGAAATTTGACAAGGATGGTCAGGGCTTCATTTCAGCGTTAGACTTCCAGGATATCATGCTCAGCATCAAGAGTCACTTGCTGACCAAGGACGTGAAGGACAACTTGGTTGCTGTGCGTCATCATTTCAGTTCTCTCTTATTCTACACGCTTCAATTGTTAATTATTAATTAATCTATGGTAATTGCAGGCAGCCAGCACCGGGCACAGTGGACGGAAAGTCAGTTTCCCCTATTTCATGGCGTTTAATTCCCTCTTGAACAACATGGAGCTCATTAAACGTATTTACCTGAACGCGACGAATGGTCATAGATACGAAGAGGTCACCAAAGGTATTTATAAGAATTATAGAAGGAACATTTGAAGTAATGCAAAGAAATGATTAATTTATAATGATTTCAGAGAGGTTCCTTCATTCGGCACAAATGATGTCTCAGATTACACCGCTGGAGGTGGACATCCTGTTCCAGTTATGCGATCTCCAACACCAAACAATGTGAGTATTTTCAATCAAAAGAGTAAGAAATCCTCTTTGGCAACCTGTTAATCAGAATAATCAGAAAAAAGGTCACGTGGAAAAAAAAAACTGCGAGCATTATAATCTTCTTCCACGCTGATCTGGTCAACGAAAAGCAAAAGAGAATGAATATGTATCTAGTATATAATAAGATGCTATCGTTGCACCAGCAAGCAAACATCGTCATCATCCAGAAATGTCGAGTGTCTCTCTCTTGGCAAAGGAAGGATGGAGACTACTGTCCCTGCCGAGTGAAAATCATTTTTTAAATTCGCCTAAAAGCTTTCCACATTATCGACGAACGCTGATCGAAGTTCCCATTGATTGAATGTATTTGTTTACGTGTTTACGCTGCCTGGATCAGGTCTACGGAAGATGACGAGGCAGATTCGCGGCTTGGGTGCGTCTTTGTATTACAAGAATAATCATCACGTGCTATTTACAATTTCTTCAAGTGCATAAACGTTGGTCCTGTGCGAAAGCAATGGGAACTCTCTTGTGAAAGATAAAAATACGATGAATTTAGAAAAAAAGAATTTGTTGATTTTTCTTCTTTTTTTGTCTTAACAGAATATTATTTTCTAAATTTCAAAGGATTATTGTCTTTCAGAGAGAAGATTCCCATTTCTTTTGCCAATGTATATTTGTACGTACGTAAGATCGATAATATACACGTAATCATATTGTCTCACCTACTTTCTTCAGCTATCTATCTTAGGACGATGGTATTTGCAGTATATTTGCACATCGTGTAGGCACTAACGATATACATATGTGTAATGATATGACAGACTTAAGGACGTGTTTGAGGAACTCTCTCGTATTGGCAGGATGTATTCTTAGTATTCATGCTCATGAAGCAGCGCCATCGACGTTGTTTGTAAAACCTATATGTGTAACCTAATCTAGAGAGTTTGTTTCTTTTTTTTTTTTTTAATATCTTTTTCCTCCTTTTTCCCAGAATATTTTTTTAAAACGCTTTATCCTCGCCGTAAAATTGAATTCATGCGTTGAGAATAGATTTTCTCGGATTTCAGAAAAATCGTGTACAATGACCTCGTGGCTATCACCCCGGAGCAGTATTTCAAACAGATCACGAAGCGTTTGGCCGAGATCAAGGCGGTGTCTGTAAGTGTAGCGACAGAAAATCCCTTAGATGCCATCAGAATTATTTCACAGCTAGTTTTCTTGTGTTTCAGAGCCCGGACGAACGTGGAGTGATCGTTCAGATTCTGGAGAGCGGATATAGATTCGTCTTGGGATCCATAGGAGGAGGTACGTTCGTTGATTATTATCATTCACCCCCTCTTTGCAGCCACGAAGACTCTGGGACTCCATATTAGCTAGAAAGAAAATAAGAATCATTAGAAAACATTGGAGTGGAGTGAAAAAGGTGGTAAAAAGAAGTGAAGGTAAAGACTAGATAAATAATGTTTTGCATTTAGCGGTGGGTGCCACGGCAGTGTACCCAATTGACCTGGTGAAGACTAGGATGCAGAATCAGAGGACAGGCTCTTTGGTCGGTGAGCTGATGTACAGGAACAGCTTTGACTGCTTGAAAAAGGTTGGAATCGAAAAGTCTCGCCACGACACATTGCCTGCATTGTTAATCATGAAGTTGGTGTCCTGCGTTTGACAGGTGATCCGGCACGAGGGTTTCTTCGGTCTGTACAGAGGTCTGGTGCCTCAGCTGATGGGCGTGGCGCCTGAAAAGGCCATCAAGCTGACCGTTAACGACTTTGTCAGAGATAAGTTCATGGATAAAAATGGCAATCTGCCTCTATACGGGGAAATTATGTCCGGCGCCTGTGTAAGTGATCCGTGAACGTCATTTTCGTGTTCTCCGACCTTTAACACCTACTCACGTTCGTTGCATTTATCACAATTTTAATTCTCTGCATTTTTCAGGCTGGAGGTTCTCAAGTGATATTTACCAATCCTCTGGAAATCGTCAAGATTCGGTTACAGGTGGCTGGAGAAATTGCTGGTGGTTCTAAAGTCAGAGCTTGGACCGTAGTTAAAGAATTAGGCATTTTTGGTCTATATAAAGTTAGTGTTTTGTCATTAGGATAATTTCAATTTTTGGTAAAAATAAAATCAAACCTCTATGATTATTTTCTAGGGTGCGCGGGCCTGCTTCTTAAGGGATGTTCCCTTTAGTGCAATCTACTTTCCCATGTATGCTCATACGAAAGCAAGATTAGCCGATGAAGGAGGTTACAATACTCCTTTGTCGCTTTTAGTATCCGGTGCTCTTGCTGGTGTACCTGCAGCAGCGCTGGTCACTCCTGCAGACGTAATAAAGACAAGATTACAAGTACAGTTCATCCCCAATAACCTTTCTTATTCAACACAATTTTCTTCATTTTATTAATTATTAATTTGATTTTAAGGTTGTAGCAAGACGCGGTCAGACAACGTACAACGGATTGCTGGACTGTGCGAAGAAAATCTATAAGGAAGAGGGACCCAGGGCGTTCTGGAAAGGAGCTACAGGTATAAAATTCTATGTCGTGATTATCTTTCACCTGGGAACGTAAAAGTAGACGAATTTTCGTAGCACATATTTTGGTCGCTACATTTATTTTAAGTTATACATTGAGAAAGTTAGTAATACATTTTTGGTTTGGTCGATTGCATGCGCGGGGGTTGGCCCTGCTGCATCTATTGACTATTCTTTCTCCCCAATATGACCTGGCGACTTACTTCTAAGTGAGTACTTCTATTTGCCTCTGCCTGTCAGTTGATCGTGACCGTTTATCTTTTTTTTGCTCTTAGCCATTCTTTCTCGTTTTTTTTCTTAATATTTGTTTTTCTCACCACTGTTTGTTTAATCTAGGTTCATTGTTTTGTTATGCAGAGTGGTTTCGCTGACAAAAGCATTTTTTCATACACAGCACGTAACTTCTGTTCTCTGTCTCACCATGTTATCTGTTGATTTATGATACTAATCATGATCGTTGTCGATTCTAGTCCTAGGATGGAGATTTTCTCGAGTTTTTATCAATGTTCAGTCCAAGGCTCTGTGTCCATTCATAGAAAGGTCATAACACGTTCATATATTCACATATATATTTTTTGGATTCAAATCTTTATTTAGACAAAGAGTATGAACCAGTGTGTGAAAATAACTTAATAATTAATAGAATTTTATTTACTCGTTGCTTCTACTTTGCAGCACGAGTATTTAGATCATCGCCCCAGTTTGGCGTCACGCTGTTCACCTATGAAGTCCTGCAGAGGCTGTTCGTGGTTGACTTCGGAGGCTCGTAAGTATACAATTATAAACATTTACTTCACTACGATTTACCTCATTCTCATTCTATTGCCGGAATTTATTTCATCCATTTCAAAAAAATCATTTGGAACTGTTTATTTTTTTGGTAAGTAGCTCCAGCTGGCTTACTCTTATCTAATTTCAAAATCTCTCACGAAAATCACCAACTACTATATGCACGTTGAATATTTTTTCGATAAACGAAGCATGGAATATTGTCTAATATTCGAAAATGTGTCTTCCAGTCGACCTACCGGGTCGGAGCAAAAGGTTCCAACTACAGGGGCAGCCCACGAGATCCGCTCAACGAACCCAGATCACATAGGAGGTTACCAGATAGCTCTACCAATCTTCACAGGCATCGAGACAAAGTTTGGTCTCTGTTTACCGAGGTTTCAAGCAGTTAGCACCGGAAAGTAACGTCGTCAGTCGGCTTCAGCTAGACCAGTAAGCTTGTAGCGACCCCTGTCATCCTCAGAATTGCGTAATGAGTCGCTGAATATTGAAAAGTGTCCTAATAAGAGCGAGGAACGAGCTCCACAGAACCACGAACAGAGCGAATATAAGAACGTGTCGTCGTCGATCGACCACAGGACCTAGAATTTATGGAGTCAACGGTAGGGTGCCTCAGGAGACGAAGAGGAAGCTTTCTGGATAAAGTAGAGACCGAAGAGTAATATATCTTAGGGAAATTAAGGAATTGGAGGTCTAAGATGCACGAGAATCGAACCTAGAAGAGCCAAAGATGATTCCAAATTGATCGTTCTACTCTGTTTGATGCAAAGAATCAAAGGATAGATGTTAGAAGTATGGTAGGGACTGTCAGTGGTTCTTCAAGGTAGCTTGATTGGCGTGCATCTGGAGAAAAAGATAAAAGGACAGCGTCAACGCGCACAACCACTCGGTGATGGCCTCTTCACCGAGATCGAGCTAGCAGGGAATCGTGGATAAATCATACACAGGGTTTAGACGAGTTAAAACACAGACGGTTTAGCCTAAAGACATTATCGAAGCACGAGAACAGTCCCTTTACGCTTATGTGTGGAGCTCGAATGGATTGGCGATGCGAAGAAGCAGAAGAGGTAGTTGTTATCTTCTTTGTACACTTTCTTTTTCCACGATTCATCCTTTGCACTGGGTTCTGTGTGGTCGATAAAATTCCTCCAATTATTAGCGTAGCAATAATGTATTTCTTCTTCGATATCCCTTTGCTTATTCAGAATTTTGGCATGAACATGACGAATAAAAATTATGGTTGATTGGAAATAGGAGTGCAAAGGGTGAAATTGTGTATATATTTAAACAAAAAATGTTCAGTCCAGCCTTGTTCAGCAAGAGAAAGAACCGATTCGCGCTTTAAGCTTTGCTTAAACGCCTTCTTGGCCGCCATGTTACTTTTTCTACTTTTTATATATGTGAATGGAAAACATGCTTGTCCTTAAGCGAGGAGTTCACGCTATTTTTGTAGGATTTCCGTTCGAGTGGAGAGGAAGTAGAAGCTCCACGAGACGGTTTCCGTTTCTTTTGATCCTTGAGGGGAGATTTTGGTCGAAACGAGCATACTTTTTAAATTTTTTTTTCAAAAAACCAAAGAAGGTATGAATATTAAAACTTTTTTAATTATGTTTGTTAACATTTCTAGTACTTACAATCTGGGTGATTGTATTTTTGTTTATGAAAAAAATTGAGTTTTTATCAGCTTTCTTAATCCAATACAAAAATTAATTTTGGAAGCGTTTATCGGTATATCTTGTACCTCTGGAAATTGTGAAAAAAAGGAATTTTTATTTTTTGGGTCAGAATTTCTCCTCAAATTCGCTTTTAGAACTTTTTGCAAAACCTAAGGCAGACCACAACGGATCGACCTGTTTTACCGACTGATCAGCCATGGAGTCAACAATTTTGTTAGCCAATTTTTCTACTCTTCTTCTAGTCGCGATTACCATTCGTTTTCTTTTTTCTTTTTTCGATTGTACGATAAAGTAATGGTGTAGTTGATATCTCGATGGTTCGATTACACGCTTTAAGTACGTAGAATTCTATTTATTCTGTCGCACAGCGAGATAGAGGCTATGCCACTATACCTTTATTTCCTTATGTTAGAAAAGGTTAGAAAACGCTGAATATTCTGTACCGTATGAGATTCTAACACTGTCAGGGATCGTGTCGTATTTTGTTTCGTCTTAGACAATACTTTAACTGCAGTCCAGAGTCTCATACGTTATCACATAACGTTCTGGATCGTAATTTTCTTTTCGTAAACGTCCTTTCAAGCCTCCACGCGTTCACCGTGTTACCTGTGAGAGATAATCGAGTTCTATTTGTATGTAAGGATTTATCGAGAGCTCGAGGAACGTTTTAAAACGATAAGGAGGACTGGATCCTTCATCCCTAGTTATGTTCGCGGATCTCGAGCTATTTTATATCGTGTGCGTGGACCGAGGAAACTACGTAAATCAATTAATTGATCGTCTGAGATATTCCAGGAACGCCATATTAAAATTTTCTTTTCCAAATTTGTCTCATAATTTTTTGTGGAATAATTTGTAGAACGTTGATCTTGATTTTATTGTAATGGCGTCTTTGGTGATTTGTGGCGGTCGGGACGACCAATATCGCGCTGGTTTTTCGTTGAGAGGTCTGAAAGGCCGTGAAACGCTCCCTCCCGCAGTTCGATATATACTATTTAACGAGACACATCGTCTTGTACTCGCTTTAGAAGAAAATTAGGTCGCTTGTGACGAGCTTTTGACGCTTTCGATCGAACATTCCGAAGTGTGCGGGCACAGATTCGCGAAACAAACATCTGTACCATGATCCAAGTTCACCTGAACCATTTTCACGTTTGTACATTTTACTTTATTTTCCAAAAATCTATTTTTTACCATTTTAATCAAGGTTCAGCTACTTTAGTATGTTTTAGAAGTTTATTGGGCAGTACTATAGTATTTGGGTCCACGCCTATTAGGTCATATGACATTGTTGAAAAGTGTATGAGTAGAAGAATTCAACATGAGTGGTCATTGCTACCGCAAATGTATGTATGTATATCACCCATAGGCATGGTCCCAAATACTATAGTGCAGCCGTTTATTGATGTATCGTATGTAGCTTTTTCAGGTTAGTTTGCAGTGAGAGATGGTTTAGGTGACTTTGCAACGATCGATCATAAGCGAGGTGCGATTCATCAGCAATTTTCACTACCAGCCATCGCGTATTTCTTTCAGAGTGCATGTTGTTGATCGAAATCTCGGGCCATCTACTAAAAAGGATAAAGGGCAAGGGGAATTCAGACCTCGATGTAATACTCGGATCAATATTTTCGACACTATAGGTTTTCGAAATTCTGTTAAAAAATAATTTGGCATTGGTTTTTGCGAATAAAATTTTTTGTTTCTTGAAATCGAAAACTTCAGAGTATTATCTCATGAGCTGACAGGCCTGTTAGCATCCGGTTGAAATGGTCGATATATTTTCGTAACGCGTAACAGAGAGACGTGGATGTATTCGCAACTGGAAAATGTATTGTATTTTCTCTTTCCGATAGTGTGTCACGCAACAAAGGGGAAAAAAGAAATTGACCATGTGTATAAAAGATGAGAGTGTGTAAATGTAGATGTACACCGTTTGGAGCAATCGAGAAACGCGAGATAAGGAAGATTTGCTTTCTGGCCCGAAATATCAACTCAAGCATCCTGATCCTGATTCGATGTACATCATACATATGTTGCATATATAATATAATTAGCCCGTGTACATACGTAACGTGCATGTGTTATACGCGATTGGCAAATGCGGATATCGAATTACCATCTCTCTCGTTCGATTCGATTATCTGCTGATGATAATTGTTGCATTCTTGGTAAGGGATGTACTATCGATAACTAATATCTGTCTGTGATGATTTATTGACTGTTATCTGTTGATAATTGAATACCGACCGAGCATCATCGATAATTGGTTACCGACTGAAAGAAAAAGGGTCGATAACAAATTATCGGTGAAAGTAAACTTGATTGATAATCGATTATAGATCGAGAAACAATTAATTCACAAGGTAGATGTGCCAAACTGGAATTTCTGAGGCTATCGTTGATTTTTCTGGCATTTTGAATTTTTTTCCTCGAATCAAGTCGAACGAGAAGATGGTATAGAAGTATTTGCAAGTGTTCGAGAGTATACAAATTATGATAAACGTTCAGGAATCCGTCGTGGGCATTCGCAGCTCAATACACTTTGCTTTTGATACCGTCACACCGTCGAACAAATTTTCTTGATATATTTCTGCACTAATCTCTCTTTGATCATTGTTCTTAGTGCGACATGTCTCCTTATTATTATTGTTGCTGTCACAATTTTTAATGTTGCTACGGATATCAAAGTGATCGTTCACTGTTTCTCTCTCACACATACACACACATACACGTGCGCGCGCAGTGAACGTGATTTATAGTTATATCAAGATTGTGATCAAAGAAAGAAGAGAACAGGGGGAATTAGACTCGTGTTACGATGGAATTGAAGAATTTCTACTCTCCGTACCAATAAACTTTTTCGTTCTGTTTCTTTTTCTTTTCATTTTATTTTCACATTTCGTTTTCAGTTGCCTCATCGAGAATATTTCGCTTAATTTTAAGATATTGAAAACCAGGGTTTCTCCAACCGGCCTAAAATGTGGAGACAGTTTGCTTTCGTTCATGGAGCGTCTATGAAGAGCATCTGTTCTTAATTTTCAGCAGTTAACACTCACTTTCTTTCCCAACAGAGATCGAAACGTGATCCAAAATGGCGCCCATAGATAACATGGTCGCAAATAACGAATATTAATCAACGATCTCTCCTAGATGGAAATTAAATAAATTTATATCGAAAAATTAATAGAAAAAATGATGAATTGAAAATGGCGTACATGGAAAATTCGATCTCTGTTTCGCAGGCTTCGAGTTTTCGCCTGTTACACGACACTCGTTAGCGGGAGACCTAACAACAGAGACAAAATGGCTACGCGATTGCACAAAGAAAAAAAAAAGAAGATATAATTATCAGAGGGAAACTAAATAAGCGGATTAGGGTTAAGTGAACTAATTAAATTAAATTAAATTAAATTAAAGATGAAGATTATCAAGTATATTATTATTCAAATGAAACCAAGTAATTAAGCTCGCTTCCATGATCGACCGTCTCATATCCCATATTCGACGCACAGTCGAATCGTATAGTACGATAATTACAACAGATGAAAAAAGAGAATAAAAGAAAAATGATACAAGAGATATAATTTAACGGGGAAGAATAATTATTACGATGATGTAACGATTGAATATTGTACACTAGGTCTTTCTTGCTTACCCTCTCCTCCCTCCTCACCCACCCGTTGACGCAAATCGAATCGACATTCTACTTGATCTGTGATCATTGTCAGATTCTTGACGGTAAAACCGGAAGGCCGATTAGTTAGACGATTTTGAATTCAAATTCTTACGAACTATTCTCAGTCGTAATATCTTTGATAAACTTAGTTTTACCTCATTGCGAATTGTAAAGATTATATATAAATATGAATTAAAAAAAAAATATATATATATATTATACATACAATTGTAAATCAAAAGAAAAAGAAAAAGGAAAAAAAAGGGAAAAAAATACCTAATTGTGAATAACACCTAAGCTGTTGTGGATATATTTTAAAATAAGAATAAATATTATTTAAAAGATACGCTGCTGGTTTCTTGATTCAATTTCTTCGATTATAATATATTGTATGCACTTTAAGCGAAAAAAGAAAGAAAATTTCCACCTTTCTCGTGTTCACATCGAGCACATTTTCCTCGTAATCTGTCGTAACGCAAATTACCCGAAGAAACAGGTTCGTCCTTCGTTCTTGTTCCGCTGTATAATTTACGCGCGTCGTGGTATCCAGGATAGAGCTGTTAAAAAGAGCTTCAACGTGGAACGCTAATGTTCGCCGACATAGTTTTAAATTCACTTGACTACGCGCGTTCGTTTCTTTACGACGCCGCCCAACACCGTGAGACAGTAACGACCCCATAAAACACCGAACTTCTTGTCGTTTAGCCGAATACTAAAATATTCCTGAACATTATGTCCAACATGTTATTTTCCCCGGTGAACGTGGCCCGTGCAATCTTTACAAGCCTCGCCACGCTTTCTCCGACCTAACCAGAACTGTGACATCTGTTTTATTCTCGCAATTCCATGCAACTCCAGAGAATTGCATACAATTCCACGGGAAAACAAGACCATAATAGTTGTGCAAAAACTCCACAGCAATTCCACAATTCCATAAAATTCAATTGGAATTTCCGCGCAACTCCACGCGAAAACTCTTTTATACTTCACGCAATTCCACGTGGAAAAAAGCAATTCCACATGGCACCACGAAAACTCCACGCAATTCCATTTTTCAATGTCTGTCATGTAGGGAGTTCTAAATGGGTTTAAGATCGTTTAGATCGGAATTGAGCGAATTTTTATAGTTCTAACACAATAATCATCTATAGTTGGTAGTTGCCCAATTAATTACATAATTACT